TACACAACAGTTAGATAGCCGTTAGATTTTAATCATTGAAATAGACCGCCATTTACAAAACAGGCAATGTTTACAAAACAATATTATCATAGTACCTATATAAAATATGTATATGAATAAATGTAAAATAAATATAAACATCATGGCCTGCTCTATTAATGGAGGTCAACTTCGACATCGGTCACAGCTGTAGTGTAAAGACGACTATCTTGTTGTGGTATATTATATGGATATTGTGATATGGTTAATTTGGAATTTATTATAGGTATCTACTATAGGTCAATTTTTTAGTACTTATGTCTTATACCTAGACTGACATGCCGTCTTTTTTTTAGTGTTTTTTTCTATAAATATCGATCGAATGTTATTTGTTGGTTAAAAAAGCTTAAAAATTTAATAGAAGGTTCCGAGTTTATTGTTTCAAAGGCACATGAAAAAAATTAAAAATAAATAGTCACGAACGACTGTAGATACTGGAAAATTTCACTGAATGTTTATATTAGCATGGTCTATACACCATAAACATTTTGAAAATAATTTGACTCTTTTTAAGTTGTTTACGGACATTGTCAGTTTTAAATTTTTTTTAGTTTTATTTTCTATAAAAATCAATAAAATTTTATTTGTTGGATAAAAAAGCATGACAATTTAATGCAAGGCTACTGATATATTTTTACAATAGCAGTTGAAAAATATTAAAAATCCTTAGTCACAGTTTTTTTTTATAAGCGTTTAAAGTTCGAATTTTGACAAAATTTATCAAATTTAAAATGTAATAATTATTTTGTAGTTAAAAATTTATAAAATGTTCAACTTTTATATCTAAGGATTGAAAATTTGAAACAATTATTGTCCAAGCAAGTAATTTATAAATAAATTACTTTAATAATCACAATAATATCATCAAATAATAAATATACTTTGTAATATCATAGGCTGACTGACCTTTTTCTTTTTCTATGAATGTCAATAAAACTTAATTTGTTTTCAACTTTTGTAGCTAAGGATTAAAAATTTAAAACAAGATTCCACGTAAATAGGTTATATATTATAAATTACTTTATTCGCCTTAGTATCATCAAATGTACTTCGTAATATCATAGGCTCACTAACCGTTTTCGTTTAGAATCGTTTTTCTTATACAACGACATTATAATATCATTGAATTAAAATTTAATACCATCCATTATACAGTGATCCACCTTTTAATTTTAATTTTACCCTGTTTGATTTATAAATATTGAATTTAATAGAATTTTAGTTTATTTCTGTAATTCAAATTTCAATGAGGTGCAAAACTGCAAGCTCGTAGTTTGGTGTACCTACCTATATCTAGTAAATACTTATACAACATTAACATTTAAATATTATTATGTGATTTCAAGTTGTATTATTGTAATAAATATATTTTTTTTAATAAAATCTATTATTTCATCCATTATCCATGTCATTATATTTAAGCAATATTTGCCATCTAGACTAACACTAATATGCCAGTTATAGCTACTTATTAAAAACAATAGTTTGGTAGAAATAACCTATGCATTACAACAAATTATACTAATTGTATAGTACTTGGGTCAAAGTATAGTTAGTAGTTACATATGTATACCAAAAATAACTATAATATAATTTATATAAAAAAAATTAAACGTTAACTGCAGAAAACAAAAAATTAAAATAACATTTAAAAATATAAAAAGATAAACTGAAAAAATCAAATAACGTTTGAAAGTACAATAACGATAAACATTAAAATTGTATATCGTTTAAATATCCGAAAACGTAAAAAAGTTATATTTATTTTAAATTTAAGCCCGATTTAAACGGAGAATAACTACTATTTTAGTTATTTTTTTTGTATTTTAAAAATATCATTACAATATGTAGAGACCGACTGCCTTTGCTCGTTATTGTATACAATGTTTATTTTATCTGTTCGATTCGAATAAGACGCTAAATGCCAATGATTACTGTTCTCTGGCCTTGACCCACCTCCCCTGACGATATAATATATTATTATTCCAGCACACACACTCACACTCGTTAAAATATATTAATTAGCTGTCAGCTAATCACTATTATTTTTTATTATTATCGTTTTCTTCATATCGATAATAAAAGCACCACACACCCGAACATTTGCGTTGTTGTTATTAGTGCGATGTGTTTGATGAGAGTAATACGTCTATGATTATTTATTTTTTTTTATCATATTTTCGTTGTCAAAAATAAAGTAGTGTTGATATATTGTAGCGTAGGTTCAAAACGTGAATTTTTTAGTATCCGAAAGACATAAGCACGAAGCTGTGCACGAAAGATTTAGATATTGTTGTATTTAGCATAGACTCGTATATGATAAAAGTGTGTGTTTTATACTATGTATTTGTGAAACGAACAATATTAGGTAGGTACTTAAATTATCGGCCAAAGGTTAATTATTTGTACCAGCTCTTATAGCTGAGGTTGGTCTATTAATATTTATGAGTATATTATTTTTATTATTATAGGTAGCGACAACTGGCCAGTCTGATCGCCGACAAACAGTGAGTTATTATTTATTATTATTTTATGACTGCATCAAGCGATCACCGCTGAAGAGCACTCAATTGTCAACTCGAACATTCCCATCATTTACATATTATTATAATCGATAAACCCAGTTTCTATTTTTCGACATCTACTAAAATTTACTATTTAAGACTATTAATATAACATTTTGTTACAAATCACAAAAATGTTTATTCGTACAAGTAGGTACTTATTATAAAATAATAATTTGTGTATCATTATTGGGCATGATACAACAACGTATATTATAATTATTGTTATTAATCAGTTTATTTATTTATTCACTACATAACAACAGTGCCGTTATTTCGTTTTTCAATAGAGTAGGGCAAAGGTTTTGACCGGCTCGAATGGGTAAATAAAAAACCGCACGCTTCGATCGCAACCACATAATATTATCTAATTACATTTTTTTTGTCGTACCCTTTTTAGTAACTAGGTAACATCATTTTTAAATATAGGGTAGCAGATATTTTGAAAAAAACAATTGTATACCTATATCAGTTAAAAGTCTACAAACTATTATATATTTATATGGCAATATTTATATTGATAAACAAAAATATTAGAAGTTTATTAGGATATCTACTTTTTTTTATTTTTGAAAATATATCAACTGCATTATCTATAAATCAATTTCACCTGATTCATCACTTATAGCCCATACTCTATTACTCTTATACAGGTATACGATATATTTACAAATTAATATTATCTTAAATTATATTATATATTTTTTTTTTTATTGCTTGCTCATCACCTCAAGTTTTGTCTGTTTATTAAACACACTAGAAATTATTTTCGATTCTTGAGCAGTTTGCGGTAATTTTATATTTTTAGCCTCACCACCCATTTATTTATTTTTTCAAGTCATTTTTGTCCAAATTAAAAGATTAATGTGAACACGAGTCACGAAAAAAATTAATTTCAATTTAGGTAGAATAAGGTACCAACTCAACTAAAATATTAACACAATACGCAGAATAATTGAAGCGTACACGACTGTTGCAAGTTAACTGAATTCTATGATCAATGATAATTAATTAGAGTGCCAATCGGTTGTTGTTTTTAGAATTTGTATTAATTTTAGATTTTAGAAATTAAACTATACGAGATTATGATACTAATATTATTATTATTGTTGTGCATACAACAATATTAATATGTTAATTTTCCTTCACAAAACACACTCACGCAAACAAACATATATACCTAAATACATACCCATACATACAATGCTACGTCTAAATATAAATATATTCCAACTAACAATTAGTAAAAATGTACCTATCATTGTGACAATAATTTCTTAGTACATAGTATAATATTTTCTGAAAATATTATTAAATAGGCAAGGTTTTGCGCTAATAAAAATATATAACAATGGTAAAATGGCAACAACTTGGCAACGGCCCATCAGGTCGCTTTTAAAATCAAAAGGGACAAATGCCCTCCTTGCCCCAGCCCCCCCAAATTACGCCAATGCATAATACACAGGTATAAGCACAATAAAACGTAATTGTACAGTTATTACTTATTATCATACAAAGTACACACAACAGTCATTACGCGGCTCATCAGTTTTTCCCGTCCATTACTGGTTGAACTGCTATTATCCCCAAGTCTAAGATTTAAATGCATTTGCATTTTTTTTCCTTAAGTCAAAATTGATTGGTTGTCAGATGTGTCCACGACTTAGCTTATTCTCGTTTAAATAGAGCCATTTTTTTTCCATATTTTTGTATATTTTGAATATGTATAATGCATATAATTGCAAATTTATAGATTTTTGAGATTTTTTTTTTAACTTAAATTCTTAAATTTTTATAATCTGTTGTTAATTTTAAATGTATTTGTTTCACAAAATCAAAAGGTTTTGGTTTATCCGTTAAATTGTCGTAAATAATATATGTATAGCATGAATACTGCCTATCTAATCTTTATCTAATCTTATTTTATCGTCGGACTACCGATAGAATTACCTACACATTGTTTAACGAGGTATGAAGTGAAACAGTACATAAGCAAATAATTTCATTAGTACGACGTGTGTCGAGTAAATAAGCGGACACTTATGCTTAATAATTTGTGCGGTTTTAATAACAGTTCAAATTTATACCTTCAATTACAGTGACACACAAAACAGTTAATACAGTAGGTACGTTGTAATGTTACAACAGCAGATCAGTACCCGCAATAGCCTACTTTGTTAAAAATTTTGTGATTTTTTGATAAATATATTGTCGTGAACATATTAACATTATTATAAAAATATATTTTTAATGCACCCCTTGAAATTGAAATTACATTTTTGGAAGTATGATTTAAGCCCGAGTACTTACCAAATGTCTCCATCACAGAGGTTAGACTAGCATCTGTTCTCACGTTTTTTTGTATGAATTTACAAACGATTTGATAGCTGGTAAGAATTATGTCTTATCCAAGTCAAATTTTTTCTTCATGTTTTCTACGGTTTTATTGAAACTATCCATTACTTCGTCATAAGTTTGATCTATATTTTCATTATTAATCTCAGGGTCCATATTCTCATTTATTTGTTTACCTTGTTTATTTGTTTGTATGCTATTTTGATCTGAATCTTTATTATTATCTTCATTAAATTCCACATAATTCATGTCTGTAGCCAAACCATACCATCCACTATCTATGTCAGAACATCCAGATGCTAATATGTGTAATTTTTTTTTCATGTCCTCTGTCATAGGTAAACAAATGCTCAAATCTATATTTAATTTCTGAGCTATGAACATTTGGTGTTTACATGGAAACCCTGTATCTCCACGAGGACATGAACAAAGGCCAAGATAAAAATCCACAAGGTACTGAGTATTATGAAGTATATTCGTTACATCAAAAAGCATGGGACATTAAAATGTCAATATTTTTTACCAAGTGAATAGGTTTTAATTTAGAATAATATAAAAAAAGGTGGGTAAGTGGATGTCGCTCTGCTGTACTGTAGGTTACAAGTGGGTCACTGTATAATGGATGATGGATGGATCGTTTCACTCAGAATCTAAAATGTAAAAAATTCGATAAATATCTCAACGATAAACCAGTTCTAAAATATTCAAATTTTTCGAAAATGATACAATTGAAAATCGTAATATAAATATTTAGTAAAAATTTCAAGGGTCTATGGTTATTACATTTTTAGTTAAATACCAAAGTCAATAACACCAAAAAATTAAAATTGATTTTCTTAAAAAATAAGTTTTCAAAAAAATTAAAACTTTTTTCACTTTTGTTTTTGTTGAAGTTTTAACTCCTTAAAGTTCAAACTAGATTATTCTCTTTTCTATCAGAAAAATCTGAGAATTTTTACTACCCTAAATGTTGTTGGTACATGTTATCATTATAAAATCAATACATCCGCTGAGAATCTAACATCGATATATTGATAGATTATTATTTAAATCAAAAATTGATTAAATTAAATTAAAACAATTTAAACGAAAACATATTCGACAGAAAAAAAAAAGAAAAATTGTTACAGATTAAAGTTATATAATCAACAAACATGGACAAAAGAAATGTACAACTCATTCTCATTACGAACATTTTTATTATTATTCATTTTAAAATATGGATTTAAAGTTTTCCCATATTTATTTATGTCATAATATTAAGAAATTGCATTGACAATAATAAAAATCTGTATGAAGTATTATTACAAAAACAAAACAAAATACCAATAATAACAAAATTAATTACAATATAAAATAAACAATCTGTAAAGTAAATGGTGGAATCCATTCTATATATATATATATACAACATTTATATTTAACAATATTTTACATATTTTTATATTTAAAGAAATACATATTTGTATATTACATACTAATAATTTTAACATTTTAATTTAAAAATGTTAGACAAAAACAAATGTGTTACACTGAAAAATTTCAAACAATTATTAGTAATAGGTAGGTATGTATAAATAAGATTGTGTTTTTCAAATACGTATTTGGTATACAGAGTTTTAAATTATTTATTTATTCAATTTTTTAGAATCTTACAATAATTTATTTACTGTTACGCATATTCTAATCCCACTTAAAAATTATAATACAACTCAAATAACCAATTTATTGATACGTTACTACGTTAGTACCTATGACAGTCGTAGCCCGAAAGAATATTTATTTTGATGAGCTTGGGTTTTCTCCTTTAGAAACCCCTGATAAATTCTTGAATCTAGGGTATCCATTCTTCAGTGCATACTCACGACAGTCCTTGTTTCCAAATTCCACAGAATCAAAACTTGCACTGTGTACGTCCCATTTACATCCATTCTCATGAGCATACCTAAGACAGTTCAGGTGACCATATTTCGCAGCCAGAGAACACGTTTTTTCGTCCCACCGACATCCATTTTCATGTGCGTACTTTAGACATTCCAGATGACCCCCCTCCGCAGCATTAGAACACGTTTTTTTGGTCCACGGACATCCATTCTCATGAGCATACTTAAGACAGTTCAGGTGACCATTTTTCGCCGCCAGAGAACACGTTTTTTCATCCCACCGACATCCATTTTCATGTGCGTACTTTAGACATTCCAGATGACCCCCCTCCGCAGCATTAGAACACGTTTTTTTGCTCCATGGACATCCATTCTCATGAGCATACTTAAGACAGTTCAGGTGACCATTTTTCGCCGCCAGAGAACACGTTTTTTCGTCCCACCGACATCCATTTTCATGTGCGTACTTTAGACATTCCAGATGACCCTCCTCCGCAGCATTAGAACACGTTTTTTTGTTCCATGGACATCCATTCTCATGAGCAAACTTAAGACATGCTAGGTGCCCATTATCTGCAGCATAAGAACACGTGTGTTGTTCCCAAGAGCATCCATTTTCATACGCATAAATCAGACAATCTAAATGTCCACCAAGTGCAGCAGAAGCACACGTGTTAACATCCCACCAGAATCCATTTTCATGGGCATACCTTAGACACTCTAGGTGCCCACCCTCCGCAGCAGCCGAACACACGTGTTCGCTCCATGGACCTTCTTCGTATTCATGCGCGTACATAAGGCAGTTCAAGTGTCCACCTTTTGCAGCATTATAACACACGTGTTCGTCCCGTGGGAAATTATTTTCATACGCATAAATAAGACAGTCCAGATTTCCTTTAAACGCAGCCCAAAGACAAGTACCATAGTCCCATGGGCATCCATTTTCATGTGCATACTTCAGACAGTCTAGGTGGCCGAACTCCGCAGCAGCAGAACACGTGTTTGAGTACCATGCACATCCATTTTCATGTAAATACCTCAAACACTCCAAGTGCCCGTCACAGGCAGCTGACTGACACGTCCGACCGCTCCAGGGACTACCGTTCTCATGCGCGTATATCAGGCATTCTAAGTTACCCGTGCTAGCAGCCTGGTCGCACGCCGATCCATGAGAGTTATAGTAGTATGGGGGAGACCAGGGAACTCCAATCTCGCGAGCCAACTTCAAACAATCTATGTGCCCGTAATACGCTGACTTCTCGCAAATGATTTCGATTGAAGAGTCATCAATGAAAGGTTGCACCTTGTCAAACATGGATCGCCTGTCACCGAGCAAATCGAACGCACCACTCTCCGTGTTCAGTTTTATGATTTGTAATAGCAACTGGCAACAAATCTGCAAGTCAACGTCTGGAATATCCAGCTCGTCGTATATTTCCCGCTGAATCTCGTTACACGCATGGTAAGCCGATTTCAGCAGACTGGGTAAGGCGTAAGTTATCTCGCCGTGAGCAGTCATCGTGGACGTTTTCCCAAACCGAGAATACTAGAAGTGGGCTGATCAGGCAAACTGTAAATATAAAATATGAAAATTTAAATCCCACTATAACGATTGTCAATAGACAATGAGAAAATTAAAATAATACATCCACATTTGCGCAACACACCTGTACAATACTCCACAACACAGAACTATGATGGGTTTATTTGGTGATTTGAGAATGCAAGTCGTTGGTAGCGTTAGCATCTGCGAAAACAAAATAAAATTAAGTACACATACTGTGGTTGTTTCCTCAGAAAACAGATTTTAAAGCACAATAAGAGTCGGCCCAAAGCTACGTAATCCGTCAAATCTAAGATATCGTGTCCAGAAGTTAAGTTCGTCCGAACTCTAGAAATGTCCTAATAAATACATTCAGTGAATTATACTATCACGATTTCAGCGGCTAATTAGAACACGATAAAAGATATAAACACCATAGACGATATAGCTGTGAGCCCAATAACCTAGCTTAAAGAAAATCGAATTACAGTTTGCAAATCGAGATCAAAGTATACATTTTCTCACAAGTACCGATTTCATACTGAAACCAAAAAATAAAAAAAATAAACAAACAAGGGTTCTTTTAGACATTTATAGGTTTGTCGCGGTCGTTATCGCAACGACCACGGTGTCTCTATCGACGTCCACGAGATCGCGACCGACAACCGGTCTGGCCGCCGCCTGCGGCACGGCCGCCGGCCCGGCCATCGGCGGTGGCGACGGGATCAGCTTTTGCCGGACCGTCATCGTGATACAACGCGAATATAATTGTTGTTCAGATAGACTGTTGACGATTTGTACCATATAATTTATCTCATATTTAACGTGTTCGTTGTCATTAATATTACCCAACCGTTCCTATACCTACAGGTTGTTAAGATTTAGATTTAATATTACACTTAAACAAAGAAGGACGTTTATAGAAGTTATTTTATTGTTATTCTGTGCACCTATATTGCAATGTTGATAAAATATGGATTAGTTTTTTGTTATAGTTTAATTCATTTACAAATCTATTACCACCTCTCTAGGGTTAGTGATCAGAAGAAATTACTTATTTTCATACGTATTTTAACACATATAATGGTGTTATTTGATATTATACCAGTATTGTAATTGTGTGTCTTCACTAAACATTACGTGGCAATAAAAGAGTCGACAACATTTTACAAAGGAGGAAACATATTTTATATTTATTTGTTATCATTATTCATGATTCAATTATTTGTACAAGTCGTGTGGTTTAAGTCATAAAATAATATTTAAAAAAATTAGGAAGATGTTTAATCATTAATGTAGTAGGTAGGTAAATACATTATGAAAATAAACGTTAAAAAAATATTATTATAGGTAGATATTAAATAGGTGCTTGTAACACAAGCATGCACACAATTGGCTTTGTAAGTTGAGAATATAAAAAGGTGCTCTGCTGTAAAGTAGGTTACAAGTGGGTCACTGTACAATGGATGGTTTTAAATTTGAATTCAATGATACAATGTCATTGTATAAGAAAAACGATTCTGAGCGAAGATGGTATTTTAGTCTAGGTCAGTGGCGTAATTGGGGTGTCGCAAGTGTCGCACTTGCAACACCAAACAATTTTCAGGTGTTGCAAAGGTATCGTTTTGCAACACCAAAAAATATTCAAGTTCGTAATACCCCCCTTTGCACCATTCACCGTATTTAATACAATATAAATATAATTAATAATACTAACGGTAGCATATCAACGGTTGATAACACTGAATTCAAATAATTGTTATAATCAAGAAATCATAGTTGCAGTGTTATTGCACGTTTTTCATTGTTGTGTTATCGTCATACGATAGTGAATTTTGAATAGTGATAGCAATTAGCAACTGACAATTAGTAACAACCTCGGCCACTCCGCAGTCCGCAACTATTTAATATAATATTTTCTATGCTGTATTGCTGTGCACTGTGCAGTCGCAACTCTTTAAGACTTAAATCATAATAATGAGTTCAAAACCAATGTCGTTTAAATCTTTTAATAAAAGAGGAGGACAGAAGATCACAGATTTTTTGTCAAAAAGATCCAAGTCTAGTACCAGGGGCGTATTTAAGGGGGGGCCGTGGGGCCCGTGCCCCTCCCATTCACCGTATTATATACTTTTTTGTAATAAATGAAATAAATCCACTTGCGATGTACGTGCATTGTTATGCTCATATATTGAACTTGTGTCTAATTGATTTAGCTAAACAGTTATCTTATGTCAGAAATACTTTTGGATCTTTACAGTCTTTACATAATTTTATTAGAGCTTCATCAAAACGCAATGCTATTTTTGAAACCATACAGTCAGAAACTGCTTGTACAAGTAAATCAGTGAGTCTCAAAAGTCTTTGTGAAACAAGATGGAATTGTCGCATGGATGCTTTAAAATCTGTATTTACAAATTTTAGTACAATAATTAATACTCTAGAACATATTTCTGATAATGACATTAACTCCGGATCTGAAGCTAAATCATTACTAAATAATATACAAAACTTTGAATTTGTACTCTGTTTGATTGTTTTAAAGGATATTTTGGAATATACAAATATTTTATCAAAATATTTACAGTCTGTGAATATTAATTATGCTACTGTAATTGACATGTCTAATAGTACTATAAATATAATAAAACAGATGAGATCAGAAATTGAATTTAATAATAAATGGAGATGATTAAAACAAATAACATTGATCCTCCCAAAATACCTCGAAAAAAAAATGTTCCATATAAGCTAGGTGGTGGGGAAAAGGGTCCTCAAACTTTGAATTTAAAAGATTATTATCGTATTGAAATTTACTATCCAGTCTTAGATATCATAATTAGAGAAATGCAACAACGTTTTCAAGAAAACCAGCTAGATATATTAAATGGATTAAAAGAAATAATAGTCAATGATAATCCACCCCACGAAGCATTAAATATTGTTTGTAATACCTACAACTTTGATTTAAAACATCTGAATACTGAAATTGAAGTTTATAATAGAATGTTTAAATTGAAATACTCCAACATAGAAACAACTAGTACTATGGCAAAGAAAATAGAATTTATTAAGAATGATGATTTTCAAAATGGATTTCCGATTTTAACATCAATTATTCGTATATTTCTTACTATACCCACTACAACTGCGAAAGATCATTTTCATGACTAAAAAGACTTAAAACTTATCTGAGGACTACAATGGGTCAAGAACGATTAAGTAATCTTGGTACATTACAAATTGAAAAAAAAAGGAATGTCAATATAGAAGAAGTCATTGATGAATTCGACAATAATTCCTCTGTGAATAGCCGAAAATTAAGTTTAAAATAAAAATTTTGTATATTATAATATATTTAAATAATAACACTTGTTGAATATACTTATTTATCTAATTTTAATATTTTTTTTTTTTTGCAACACCAAAAATGTTAACTAAATTACGCCACTGGTCTAGGTATAAGACATATTATATACTTATCCATGGTTTCTATACACGATAACATTTTCAAAATATATTGATTTATTTTGAACTGTTTAGGCACATTTTGCAAAAGTGAAAGCTTGAAAATTTAATAAAATGCTAATAGTATATTCAAAGGCAGATGAAAAATATTAAAAATCCTTAGTCACAATTTTTTGCGTTTAAAGTTCAAAAATTGACAAAATATGGAAAAATCACGAAAATTAGCAAATTATTTTGAGTTAAGAATTCGTAAAAATTTTTTTTTTAAATCTAAGATTTTAAAATGTAATACAAGATTCCTTATAAGATTATCTACCTTTATCAATAAAAAAATCTCTACCGGACAATCAAGTTAAATTTTTATGAGCGTTTGAAATTCAAATTTTTACAACATAGTATATTCACTCGATTTCTTTATTTTGTTGTACTACAAAAACGAATAACTGTAGATACATGAAAATTTCACTGAATGTTTATATTAGCATTTCCAATACACCATACAATTTCGACTCTTTTTCAGCTGTTAACGGGCATTTACAGCTTTCAATTTTTTTTAGTTTTTTTTTCTATGAATATCAATAAAGTTTTATCTGTTGGGCCAAAAAGTGTACAAATTTAATTCAAGTTTACTGATATATTGTTACAATATCAGTTGAAAAATATTAAAAATAAATAGGCACAATTTTCTTTTATAAGCAATTAAAGATCGAATTTTGACAAAATTTATCAAATTTAAAATTGAATAATTATTTTGTAGTTAAAAATGTTTAAAATGTTCAACTTTTATATCTAAGGATTGAAAATAAAAAACAATATACCACGTAAGTAGTTTATTCAGTTACCAAAAAATCTAAAAAATACATAAGCCCGGTTATTTTCATAGCCATTTTAAGTTCAATTTTGGACAAAATTACATAAAAAAAGATGAGCAAATAGGTTTCGCTCTGCTGTACAGTAGGTTACAAGTGGGTCACTGTACAATTTATGGTTTTAAATTTGAATTCAATGATACAATATCATTGTATAAGAAAAACAATTCTGAGCAGGGGATGGTATGTTAGTCTAGGTATAAGACATACGAGTATTATATACTTATCCATGGTAGGTATTGAAAAAAAATTGTACCTATAATAAATTCCAAATTAATCATATCACAATATCCATTAGGTACTTGTAATGCGTTATACATCAATAACAAACCACGATACCATCTTACTATCATAGATATATAGTAGTATACTTTAGAAGTTTCAAATACCCACGAGTAATATTATACAATCACAACAAAATAAATAAAATAAATAGATATTCTAGGTTTTTTAACATGAAATTTTGTCAAAATTTGAACTTAAAATGACTATAAAAATAAAGTGTGCTTATGTAATTTTTAGATTTTTTGGTAAAGGAATAAACAACTTACGTGGAATATTGTTTTAAATTTTCAATCCTTAGATATTAAATTCAAACATTTTATACATTTTATTAACTAGAAAATAATTATTCAATTTTAAATTTGATACATTTTGTCAAAATTCGATCTTTAAATGCTTATAAAAAAAAATTGTGCCTATGTATTTTTAATATTATTCAATTACTAATGTAAAAATATGCCAGGAACCTTGTATTAAATTTTTACACTTTTTGGCCCAACAGATAAAACTTTATTGATATTTATAGAAAAAAAAACTAAAAAAATTGAAAACTTAAAATGACCGTAAACAGCTCAAAAAGAGTCAAAATATTTTCAAAATTGTATGGTGTATAGGAAATGCTAATATAAACATTTAATAAAATTTTCATGTATCTAAAGTTATTCGTTTTTGAATTACAAAAAAATAAGGAAATCGCTACATGAGAAATCGAGTGAATATCCAATGTTGTAAAAATTTGAATTTCAAACGCTCAAAAAAATTTAATTTGACTTTCTTATAGACATTTTTTTGTTGATAAAGGTAGATAATCTTATAAGAAATCTTGTATTACAGTTTCAAATCTTAGATTTAAAAAGAAAAATTTTTACGAATTCTTAACTCAAAATTTATTTTCTAATTTTCGTGATTTTTCATTTTTTGTCAATTTTTGAACTTTAAATGCTTATAAAAAAAAATTGTGACCCAATATTTTTAATATTTTTCATCTGCCTTTGAAACAATATACTAGGAGCCTTCTATTAAATTATCAAGCTTTCGCAACCAACAAATAAAATTTAATTGATATTTTTAGAAAAAAAACTAATAATAAATGGAAAATGAAAATGTCCCTAAACAGTTCAAAATAAATCAAAATATTTTGAGAATGTTATCGTATATAGAAAATGCAAATATAAACGACCAGTGAAAATTTCATGTATATACGTTCATTTGTTTTAAAGTTACACCAAAAACCAAAATCGAATTTTTGGAATTCCCGTTTTTCCTTAATTTTTATGTTGTTTTTTCCCGGCGCTTGTGAAAACTACTGGGAAATTTTTACTTTTGACCCCCCAAGTTACCAACTAGATTCACTTTCCTATCAGAAACAATCACGTCTGGGAAATATGACCAATTTTGTGACTCGTTAGGTTAATGTAGATACATGTGAGTTAAGTTAAAAGTTACATGCTTACCCGGCAGCTGTTATCCGTAACGCGTAAGCTTCGTTTTCGCAACAATAATATACAGTGGTCGGTTAATGTTATCAACCGTACATTGTTATCGAAAAGTGTAAGTACAACGCTGTATTACGTACATACTTAAATAGGATTATCAGTCGGTTTATGTTGTCCGTTTTGTCCAGTAGGTACCAAAGTGTTTATTTAAAGTGACGACCACTGTATCATAATATAGTTTACGCAGTGACGGTGCGAACAATACTATATAGGCGCACCTGTTAATATTATGTGAAAAAACAAAACAAAACTGGCGGTGGTTGGCGATAAATGCGATTTGCGAACTGTCACTACAAATAAATTATGAATAAAACGATGTATAAGTTTGACAACTACGACACTGTGGGTGCGGTTGCACACGGTATTCCTACAAAAGTCGTAAATCGTCACTACCTACCATGAACTACTACACAGGACTGGACACTATTGGCAGGAGGAGAGTAGGGGGTCGTCCACAAAGTTGTACATATTCGGTACACATGCGACACAGCGCCATCTGTGAGATAAGAAATATTTTGAATATTTATAAAATACCGCCTTAGTAGTTCATGCTTAGTAGTCCCACAAAAGTGAAATATTGACATATATATTATTACTTACTACTTAACCATGAGAATGAGACAATATTCACAAATGACAAATCAAAAACAGATCAAAGTAAGCTGCAAAAAGAAGAAATTATTGTCAAAGTTGGTAAAAACATAAGATAAACGTAACAAATGTACATAATATTTTTTTTATATACCTACAGAAACGTCAAAAACTGACAGCTATTAAATCATTTAAATCATTATTAAACTTACTATTTAGCATTAGCACCACGGCATTTACTATTTATTATTATTTATTATCACTAATATCAGTAATATCACTATTCTTTAGTGTTATCCACGGACTATAATAGTCCGTGGTGTTATCCTATAAAAAACGTAGTTCGTACTACTAACAGGCAGAGTGCAGTTACATCGCATGTGTACGAACCTTGTACAACTTTGTGTCCGTGATTTTCTCTGTAGTGTCCAGTCCTGTGTAGTAGTTCATGCTACCTACCTACCACACAAGCGAACTGATAGCAGTTGTAGATGTCTTGTATCACGCAGTCAGCAGTGATAAGGATAGACCGCGACGATAACTACAAGCGACAGTGTGTCGTCTGGTGCAGCGTGCGGGAACCCGTCGATCGGCCTTGTTACGAGTGTGCCGCCGAAATTATGTTCACATAATAACTTTAAAGGATTTACATGCGTTATTTACATGCGTATAATTATTATATTTAAAGCGAAAATGTTTGACAGTCGTACAATTTAGTAGGACCTGAATATTTGTATAATAAAAATAAAAAGCTGTTCGTTGTCTAGAGCATCGATCTAGAAAAGCTGGACAAATATTTGGTCGATTTTTTACTGTTTTTTTTTTTTTAATGTTCGTGATATTCCGAATGTGGCTTTTATGGAAAAGAAATCGGTAAATTTACCAGGAAAATTGGAAAATCTTCGAACAACTGAAATGAAAAATAATTGAGTTTGATTTTTCTAGAAATCGTTTTTTTTTTTTTTGTTTATACATGGTTGCCAGGT